CCCCAAAACCCCAAAACCCCAAAACCCCAAAACCCCAAAACCCCATTCCTTATAATTAATATTGAACTGCTGACGTATATGGATACAGCTGTTAAAAGATTAAGTTTGCTCAAGAGCCATCTAGCTTCGCAAAAGACAGCTGAGCCTGTTACGGATTCCATAAATTCCAACGGCTATACAGGATTTCATGACTTCTTGTCTGATGATGAAAAAGAGCTATGAAAGAAGATTAGGAAGGTAAGGCTCTGAAGAATTCCTTAGTGAAAGTGAGGCTATTACGTAATTCGTTAAATTTGAGTAACTATGTTTTTGATAAATTTTTTAACTAAGCTATCCAGGGAATTTATTAGTTACACTATTATCACTTCTACTATCTACTTTATTTACCCAAGCCTACCATGGTCTTCCAGATTTTTTGTTAATTTTGGATCAAAATGTGATTCCATCTTATAGGAGCTTGAAGGAAAAGATGTCAAAGGTAAGTACCAACTTTAAAACCCATAGCTGTTTCTCCAGGAGATATGGACACTAAGGAAGGCATCCAAAGCCTGAACTACTATGTAGAAAATACTGAGTTTCCATTTGAGATTTTAGAAAAGCTCAGATCCTTAAAAGTAGGAGGAGCTACTATCAAAGGAAATAGATCCGAGGAGTTAAGCCCATTGATGACTGGAGCTGTCCTTATGGAACTCTACAGACTTGATCCTAGTCTTGGTACTTTCTATTTTGTGCATAATCTTGTATCCTTGGCTACAATCGATCTTCTGGGATCTGAAGACCAGAAGAAAAAGTACATCCCTGATGGTTGCAGATTTTTGAAAGCTTACTCGTTTGGGCTTACTGAACCATTAAATGGTAGTGATGCTACCAATCTTCAAACAACAGCTGAAAAGGTTGCTGGAGGGTATATATTGAACGGAGAGAAGAGGTGGATCGGAAATGCTACCCACTCACATGCCATCATAATCTGGGCAAAGGTCAAAGATACTGGAGAAATCAAAGGATTCATAGTTGAAAATGGCACAATTGGTATGTACTGCAAGAAGATTGAAGGAAAATATGCTATGAGAGCAGTCCAGAACGCTAATATTACTCTCAATAAAGTCTTTGTAACAGACTCTCAAGTGCTTCCTGAAGGAAATGATTGGGTAACTGGCCCAGGAAGATGTTTAAAGCACTCAAGAGTTTATGCTGCTTGGGGAGCTTGAGGAATAGCCGCAGGAGCTTATGATTTTACAATTAAATATATTTCTCAAAGGAAACAATTTGGAAAAACCATTTCATCTTTCCAAATAAATCAAGAGAAATTAGCAAGAATGATGGGAAACCTTCAAGCTATGATCCATATGGCTAAAAGAGTCACTCTTCTGTATGAGGCTGGTAAAGCCACATTTGGACAAGTATCACTAACCAAGGCTTGGTGATCTCAAAAAGCCAGAGAATGAGTTGCACTTGGAAGAGAGATGCTAGGCGGAAATGGAATCCTTATTGACAACCAGTTAATGAAATTGTTCATGGATGCAGAAGCTATGCACACTTATGAAGGGTCATATGATATCAATATGCTTATTGCAGGAAGAGAACTCACAGGAGTAGCCGCTATAAGATAAGTTCAACTTATTCAGGGTTCTATCTCAACCTTTTGTTAATATTTTGGGGTTTTGGGGTTTTGGGGTTTTGGGGTTTTGGGGTTTTGGGGTTTTGGGG